GCACTGGCTCTGGAAAGATAACTCAAATCAGTGGGTTGCATACAGCAATTTCGACTCACGGGTCCTCGAGGTAACATTGTTGTTTTAGTACACCTTTTGCAATACTATCTTCCAGTTTTCCGTCTTTTTTTTTACAAGAAAATGGCGTAATAAATTTTGACTGAGTCGGAATTTCACTTCTTGGCCGTTTCATGGGTAAAGTTTTATCGTTTTTCGTTTGCCGGCCTCCGATGTTCTTCGTTTTGCTTTTTCAAGCACTGTAAGCAGAAAATCTTCATCGCTAAGAGTGCAAGTTAGAAAGCTTCTTGCCTTCAGTGAAGAAATTTTTGAGGTCTTTGATGTTTAGCGATAGTATCTTCTTAATTTTTGGTGTATGTTGGAACGAGAAATGTTTGTAAAGAGCAGGATGCGGGAATCTTTTTTGAGTTTCGAGATGTCACATTTTTTCATATCACTGGGCAGGCCCTAGGTCTGACAGTGACATTTTTCGTAGTAAAGAAAGGAATGAAATAATTGCATAAATAAGGCAGACAAGGAAATGAACTCACTGGAACAGCATAGGATAAATTCTGAATGCTAGAAGTACAAGCGAAGGCATAAGATGTCATTACGGTGGGCGGCTTTTGGATGATTTGAAGTACCTTCGAGAAAGGATCGAGAATTTAGCCGAGGAAATGCAAAATCGATTTCTTTCAGATAGCCTTCAACACCAGTGAAACAGATATTAGCCTTCAAATCAATGGAAATGTCTATAAAATAGATTTGCAACGAATGGTGCAACAGAATCAAGTAACGGGCAAGGAGCGGCCAATACAGCGACGTGCTCCTGCCTGCTATAGCAAGTTTTTCGCATATTTTTTAAGCTCTTTGTTACATCTAGTAGCATTCATGTCGTTTCGCTCTGAAATGTGCGTAGAAATTTTTGAGGCCACTGGTTAAATTAGCATTTTTGGACTGGGGCTGCATTTTTTATGCGTTTTTTGCATCTGTGCAATACAGAAACGCATAGTGACGAGGGGTTATCTGTACGTATGTGTTTGTGTGTGTCTGTGTGTGCGCTGGGCGTCTGTACCGGTTTTTCA